TTCCCCAGCATTACAGGTTTATTGTGTACATTTTCAGGACATGTCAGTTCTCCAACAGCAACACTGGAGGTTTGGGCATTCAAAAACAATCGTCCGGTGTACTTCACAAGATTTTTCACAAATGTACTTAGTATAGCTGCATGATTCAAAATGAAAATAAATTTTTGTTTTTAATGTATTCTGTATTTATATGTTCCAAGCCGCACGTTGCCTAACTAGATAAACACACTCCAATTAAAGCGCAACTTCTAACAAAAACATATTTTTTTTATTAGGTAAAAGGTTATACATCGTGGGAAGGATGGAGGGGTAGATATTTAAATTAAACCCAAGGTACTAATTCAGCAATAAAAATAGGGAATTAATTTTGGAAGACCTAGGAATGCCAAAGGCTATAAAGGAAAACTGGCTTAAGCCTGGCGGCTTACAAGGGACAAACAACATGGAGAGGGAAAGGAAATCCCGCCTCATTTTTTATTTAAATTTCAATTATTTAAAGCTTGACATTCTTGGAATGGTCCCATAAAAGTACAATTCCTAAAAGGGGCAGAGCTGGAAAACATACAAACATGCTCTCTCGCGTTCTGGTATATTTAATCTTTAACTTTTGCAGATTGTACAAAACCCTTCAACCGAAAGGATAATAGCTGGATTTACTATGTTTGAGTATTTTTTCATTTATTAAACTCCAATTGGATCTTTTACAGTTTTCTTATGAAATTGGTGATTTCAGTAATATTACCAGAATTTAAACATAACTCTATATAGCAATTTGAGAGGAAATAATAGTGATCGCGTAAAATTCAAAGTTATGATGGATCATAATTTTTCGCGCCTATGATTCGGTAGGACTCAAGGAATGGAACAGGATGAGTTATTAAAGAAAATTGGCCAGTGTTAGCAGGGGATGGGAATCTTACTCGCCTAGGAATTTGGTAGAGCCAGTGAGGTCACGCTATCTGATAAGGAGGGTGTTCAATCATATTTTGTCTTAGCAACATTACATCATATTATGGACCAATTATGTTTTTAAAGATTATTTTACTCAATGTATTATATGGTAGGGTGTATGAATGTCATCATTCATCTTAATGCCTTTTATTTCATGGTACCATGATTCATCGAACATTTTTTTAATGCACCTCTCTCCACTATAGGGGGAGGTCCCAGTCCATAACCCCTTTATCTCTCTAGTTTAGCTTTCACTCTTATACAGTTCCTTGACCACTATTTAACCCGCATATCTCTTCTTTTGCTTTGACAACCTAAGTTATTTTGATTCCATTTTAAGTTTTCTTTTACTTTTATTGGTTCCTATGTGTGTTTGCTATTAGCAATTGTATGTTTTCTCTTTTTATAAATATGCCTAGTCTGAAAATCAATAAACCCACCAATGGTTATTATGTCTTGCTGTTGTTTTCACTTGATGTTGCCTTAATAAACAATTCAGGATTTCTCACTATATACCACTGGTAATATGTACAGTGCATGTACTTTATGAAAACTCTGCATTAGATCAGTGAAGAGAGAAAATGCGATGAAGAAAAATGGTCGGGATATATTTTAATCTTTTTCTTATTATGATATGATTAATTATTTAAATTTGTTTAATATTTTTTTTTGAGCAGCTTTACTTGAATAATATATGTTTAAAAAATGTAGTTTGTAACTTAACATACTATTTAACATAAACCCTACAGTATCACCGAGGCATTTTAATTTTAAATTATTATTTCTGACTTAACTTTAACAAACTTTCTATTTGGAAGAACTGAAATCCAATTATTAGTTATATGCTTTCGGTCATGAAAATTTACAATTTATTGTACAAATTTAGCCTAATATTGTTTGTTGCCATGTCTATCAATTTAGTTAGCACATTTGATTTCTCTCAGACTGTAATGCTATATATCGGCTTAATTACC